TCGATTATTGGAGTTGTTTTAAGACTGCAAAGTCTGCTTTAGAAGTTAATCCACTCAGACTAATGTTGGATTTCATATTTTTATACCTTTTTTATATTTCCTATCAAGCATTCAAATGTCATGTTATACAAAGTGTGTGTGTGTCTTTCTTCCAGGGTTGCACTATATTTATAGAAAATGTTTGCTAATTCTAACTAGTTGACCTTTGAATATAATCTCATATTAGCTAAGGATAATTTTACAAGTTCACATTTGATATTTTACAAGCAATCAAATCATGCCAGATAGCAGACTGATTAACATAAATAAAGCTAGAACATATTTCTTTAATTTAGACTTAATATAGTTTGACTAAATAAAATCCCTCATTATCTCTCTTAATAATAACCATTAACATTTAATCATTGTTGAATACAGGGTCGGTTTAGCTGAGAGGACACAGGTGTAGTGAACTAGGCCTGAAGGTCAAATCCTGACCTTAAGGACTTTATGGGACAGAAGCTGTCATTTCATTGATTTGAATCCAGAAATACAGGTTGACCCATCCTGAGACTTTCTTTCTTGAAAGTTCAAGTGAAAGAACACTCTCTTTTCTATTATCATTACTATTTTACAAATGTTTGATAATCAAAGTGTTTTTAGTTCAAACCATTTTAGATGCTGCAGTGAACTAATCATTTTAATTAACTGTGAAACAGTAATAATGATTTTTAATCCTCATGCAAAGTTAGAATTCATGTTAAGGTCTGTTACAGAGTAATTATGCATTTTCTGATTTTCTGTCTTTGAATGAGCAGTGTAAGTTGGTCCAAGGTTGGAGTCAAACGCAGACAAGTTGTTGGAACGAGCTGTCATGTTTTTACATCCTCTCAGACGTAAATAGAGAAGCTGGCACCTGTTGGCACCTGTTTTCCGCCAACTCGTCTAAATATTCCTCTCGTCTGTCTGAAAAACATTTTCAATCTGTTCCATAACATTCTTGCTGTTTTTCTAACTCCTAGTGACCTCTTACGTCACAAAAACACATCTCTGTTTTGGTCCATCGACCAATCAGAAACTCCCAGGTGAACCGGAAATAGAGCCCTTTAAATGTCGGTACTTCCTAGTTCAAACCAGTCGCTTCAGGCTCCGGCTTCAGTCGTTGCAGCTCCAGTGCTGGGAAACAGGAAAATCCTGACATGACCACAGAGCTCTTCCGAGTCTTATGGGATTATGACATCTTCCACCTCTGAGTGGAACTCTGACGGACTCCACTCATGTGAAGTCCACTCGTGAGGTGAACTTGTGTCGAACAAGTAACGTCACTACTTCGGACGATTCACAGCTGTTCCTACGGAGACGCTGAAAGGGTGCGTTAAATGGAACCTGGTACCAGGGAGACATCTCCAGGTAAAAGAGTTGATTTATACCACCTAAGTGTACTGGGGAAGAAGCTGGGTAAACCCGGAGAGTGCCGTTCTGACGCCGACACAACATTCTCCCTCATCCATCTTTTTCTCCCTCTAAACTTCATCTTTCCATCTTTAAAATTCTTCTATCAAGTAGAAATCATTCCAGATATTTTTAGAAGTGTCTGTTGTACAGCTGGAAGTGAGAAAACAATCGCCGTATTGTTTACTTCCTGTAAACTTGCTTAAATTAGCCATGTTGTTATTTTCCATATTTTGCCAATTAATGTAAATGTGTGATGTGTTGAACTTTGATTCTGTTAATAATTGACCCACTGTCGTTGGTGAGTCAAAGATAATTAACGTTTCCGTCCACATTTTATTAAATTCAGATGCACGTCATTATACAGTCCAGAAAAATGAAAGAATCCGTTTAATTTATGAATATATCAGCATATGTTCATACTACACAGGGTTAATTGTCACAGTAAGCTACAACAGCAAAAATATAAAAAGGATCAAGTAAGAACACGCAAACACGAGTTAGATAATAATTAATAGTTATTAATTATTCCTAGAAATAAACAACTTTAACTCAAATCATTTGGTATCACTAAGGTATAATCACGTTAAACAAACAGCTAAAACGAACGATTTTCAGTGAGGCAAAACTTCCTATCTGAAATGTAGACATTAACGTCCTTGAGGGGGCGGACTAGAGTCGTAACCATAGCAACAGAAGCTAAACCAATCAGAAAGCTAGCCTTCTCAAACTGTGATAAAAGGCCGGAAATAACACACGCCCACCGAACATTTCCGGGAGGCGCACACCGAGACGGTTCGTTCCTTAAGGCTCTATTTATATGTGTAGTGAACTAAGCCTCAGGTCAAGTCCTGGCCTTGAGGACCTTCCTGGGACAAGAACTGTATTTCATTGATTTGAGTCCAGAAACACAAGATTAAGTTCATCCAGAGACTTTCTCTTGTCCTGCACTGATCAATTGAAAGAACACTCTTTTTTATTATCATTACTATTTTACAAATTTCTTGATAATCAAAGTGTGTTTAGTTCAAACCATTTTTAAATGTTGAAGTGAACTACTCATTTTAATTCAACTGTGAAACAGTATTAGTGATTTTTTAATCCTCATTCAAAGTGGAAATCAAATTGGAATGTGTTACGGAGTAATTCATGCATTTTCTGATCTTCTGTCTGAAATGAGCAAGTTGTGATGTCGGTCAAAGGTCGAAGACATGTTGTTGGAACGAACTGTCATGTTTTTATATCCTCTCAGACGTAAATAGAGAAGCTGGCACCTGTTTTCACCCAACTCGCCCAAACATTTCTCTCGTCTGTCTCTAAAACATTTTCAATCTGTTCCAAAACATTCTTTCTGTTTTTCTGACTTCTAGTGACCTCTTACGTCACAAAAACACACCCCGTCTGGTCGATTGACCAATCAGGGACTTCCCAAATGAACCAGAAATAGAACTCTTTAAATGTCTGCACTTCCTAGTTCAAACCAGTCGTGTTAGAGCTAGTGCAGTCGAGCGCAGTCGAGTTCGGTTCGGAGAGCAAACCGAACGGAAAAAGTGCTGGAGAGTTCAGGAGGTCCAGACATGATCCGGAGTTCTTCCGAGTCTTGTGGGAATTATGACATCTTCCACCTCTGAGTGGAGCCTCTTACGGACTTACGCCTCTTGTGAGTCCACCGAGAGGTGAACCTGTGTCGGACGGAATACCGGCACTACTTCGGACGATTCACAGCTGTTCCTACGGAGACGCTGAAAGGGTGCGTTAAATGGAACTCCGTACCAGTGGAGACACCTGCTACAGGTAAAGAGTCGATTAATACCACCTAAGTGTACCGAGGAGGAAGCTGGGATCTTAACGGAGAGTGCCGTCCTGATACTGACACATTTCCCTCATCCATCCTTTCTCTCCATTTAAACTTCATTTCCATCTTTAAACTCTTCTATTTTGCTAGAAATCATTCCAGATATTTTCAGAAATGTCTGTTGTGAAGTGTATTATGAAATTCTTTATCAAAAGGGCTCGTGAACGGTCGGCACAGATATTCAGACCAGAGGGAAAAAATAAAACACAGAGGCTGTTACTGCTAGGAATAATAAGTGTCATTTTTTAACCTGCCACAGAAAACAGCCAAGCAAAAAACATGTACACTCGTACACTCTTAACACACAAATTGATATGAGAGAACTTCTCACCGTGACACTGGCCGGGAAGTCGTTTTCGACCCAGGTAAAGAAGAATCACATCATCAATTACTGCATGGCACCGCGCGCGCGCTGGTCCACACAAGACTTCCGACTCTCTGTGTTTGTTACATTTCTTATATACCTCTCCCTGATCGCGTGAGAGCAGTGCAAAACAAGTTTTGATGGTTGCCAGGAGGGCAGATTTAATTAAATCTGTTTTTCCATCATCAAAGCAGTCTGTGCAACAGAGCGATGGCTTCATAAAAACATGTCCTTCAAAACCTGGGTCACTGTAACCTTAAGATTAGGCCAGATCTTCTGGTTAGAGCATCCCCCAGAGAACTTTAATTACTCCAAAACACATCTGCAGCACAGGCCTGACTTTAACACACAAAAGTGAGTATAAGTATTAATTGACATAAAAGCATCAAAATAATCATTCCTATATCATTCCACCCTTGCCTTTTATGGCAATTTAGACATTTAATTCTGAAAAGTAACACACACAAAATGTATATGTTTGAATAGGCATAAAGGCAACTTAATATATTGATATAAAACATATTTTTATATCATGAAGCAACGGAAAACCATGGCCGTATGGTTTTCCTGATTGTAAAGCTGATTAATTAAGCTGTTGTTATTTTCAATTTTGCCAAATCAATGTAAATGTTTGATGTTAAACTTTGATTCTGTTAATAAATGACGCATTCATTTGATGGGTCAAAGAAAATTAACGTCTCGCGTTACATTTATTAAACTCAATGCACGATATTATTCAGTACAGAAAAATGAATGAATCCGTTTAATTTATGAATATATCACAGTATATGTTCCTCTACATATGCATATATCTTATTAATGTAATTGTTTGTCTCTGAATATCTGTAACCCATGTTTTGTCAAATAAATCTTTTATACCGAGGGCGACGTCTCAGCTGTTTTGAACACGACGTGGTAGCCAGCCACGACACTAGTCATAATTTGTCAATTAGATCCAAGCAGAATTTTTTTTTTCTTTCTTTTTCAAGGAAGTTCTGTCACTGATTCTATGTAACACTTTAAAACTGTTTTTATGTTTTAATAAAGCATCCAACAGTTTTTGTGCACAATCATCATGGTTGCCTGTATATTTGAATGTAGCATCATTAGTTTCATTTTAACCTATGAAGGAAATAAAACTGTAATGAGAATTACAGAAGCATCACTATTTTTCAAAGTTAAGATATCTGGTGCTATTAGTAGTGTCAGCCAGTTTAGTTGGGAACGACACCAGTAATGGTGCCATGTGTAACATCTGTATAATGGGTTTTCTTGGACAGTAATATTTTGCGACTTGCGTGTGTTTTCCTGTGTGTGAAAGCTTTTATGCCGTGTATTGTATCTGTGCAGTGCCAGAGCCTGCTCCCTCTAAGCCCAACCCTGGTCCATCTCACCACCTCCAACCCTCCAGCCCCACACTGCCCCTCTCCTCCTCCTGCTGTTCTTCTGGCAATGGCAAGCGCTCCCCCTGCGGTATCCAACTCTCGACTCAGACTCCCCCTCAGCAGCAGTGCCAGTTGTCCTCTGCCAGTGCTCGCTACCCGCCCAGAGAGGTGCCCCCGCGCTTCCGTCAGCAGGAGCACAAGCAGCTACTGAAGAGAGGCCAGCCGCTGCCTGCAGGAGCTCTCAGTGCGTTCACACTGCCTTCCCCCTCCTCCTCTTCTCCCCCACCGTCTTCCACCTCTTCTTCTGCAAGTACCAGCAGCACTACCCCAAACTCTGCCACGTCCTCTTCAAACGAGCACCGCCCAGGTTTGTGTCAGCTTAGTCGGTTTGTGTTTTGGTCATGTGTGGAGCCGATTTTGTTTCAGTTGGTGCTTAATGTGTGACGAGGCATTCATCACTTTTTATATTTTACCTTGATTTTCTCAATTACCTGACGCTGTTCCATCCAAACTCCATTGTTTCCCTTCCATTGTTCACTTTTTATTTTAAGCTCGGTGTTGCCTTTCCAAAGCAGTACTGATAAATTCACCACAGCGATGATGCATTATGTAACAAGTGACAACATCTGTATTTTTCATTGGGAAACTAAAAAACTTTGACAGGAGGAACAATAATGATGACCTTATTTTTAAAGGTAGCTAGTAACGTATAAATAATGATGCTTTAATCTTTACTTGCTCTGACTTACTTCACACGCTCTCATCTCTTTAGCCAGCGGTAGGTTTTTAATGAGTCCCCTGTTGGCCTCTAGGATCTGTAATACTGAGCTTCCCTTCAGGGGCACCTTGTGAAGTGTTTGTATTAGGGTGTAACTAAAGTGCTGTGTATTTAGATCAGTATTCCTGCTGTATCTATCTCACTCTTACTTTTTTTATTTTTAACATGGCTATTTTTGTCCCTGATGAGCACATTTTTGTGTCATTGTGAGCACGTTTCATTTTTCCAGGATGTTTGGTTTTTATTAGTCCAGCTGTAAACTAGTCTTCTCCAGCTGCCTTCTTTCTGCACTAATTGCCCGTGCATCACGGTAACACCTTGAAGACATAAATGTGAGGATAAATGACTGTCGCACAGTTTTTCATGGTTAGATTTTTTTGAGCCGGAACATCTGCTCACGTCTTTGTTACTTTCTTCTCTCTTGATGGCTTTCCCTTCTCTTTTGATCAACAAGGTTTTGCTGCCTTTCTTTACTGCCTTAACATTTGCTGCGAGAACACCGAGCTCTTGGTAAACAGATCTGCAGCAGCTGCAGTTCATAGCCGGCTGAGCACAAAAGCTTTGCAGAGGCAAACGGATCTTTGTGTGGCCCGTTGCTGTGCTTGTGCCACCGGTCACAGCATCAAACAAAACAGAGTATGAAATCATTCCTGGACTTATCCAAAAAAGTTCAGTCTGGTCCTCTGGACATTCAAAAAAACAAAACAAAGCAAAAAATATAGAAATGTTTCGTCTCTCATCCAAGAGACTTCCTCAGTCTGAGGTGCTGTTTTCAGCTCAGTCTCTTAAATAGCACCTTCTCAGAGTGGATCAACCAGTTTGCTGCTGACAACCAAAACCAGCTGATCACATGCTCAAGAAGGACCATCAGCCTAACAATGGCTCATTAGCACACTGATGGCTGTTTACTATTCACAGAGGGCTGAGTGATACTAGCAATCACAGCATTGTAAGAGGGGGACAGTTGAACCCGGAGGCCTCCACCCCTGTTTAATGATGGACGATTTCTTTTCACAAAGATGGCCTCCTTTACTCCTCTCTCAAACTATCGTTCCTCTCTGTCCAGGATGTGAACATCTTCATCCTTGAAAGAGTGACCGCTGGCCTGGAGATGAGTGTAGACCGCAGAATCCTGGCCTGATGATGTTGATCTTCTGTGCTGGGCCATCCTTTTGGCCAGTGGCTGTTTAGTTTCCCCGATGTAAGAGTGATCACAGCCCTCCTGACACTGAACAGCATACACAATATTACGATCATCCGGGAGGGACTCGGAGTAGAGCCGCTGCTTCTCCACGTCGAGAGGAGCCAGTTGAGGTGGCTTGGGCATCTGGTTAGGATGCCTTCTGGACGCCTCCCTGGTGAGGTGTTCCGGACACGTCCCACCGGAAGGAGGCCCAGAGGAAGACCCAGGACACACTGGAGGGACTATGTTTCTCGGCTGGCCTGGGAACGCCTCGGGATTCCCCCGGAAGAGCTGGCCCAAGTGGCTGGGGAGAGGGAAGTCTGGGCCTCCCTACTTAGGCTGCTACCCCCGCGACCCGACCCCGGATAAGCGGAAGAAAATGGATGGATGGATGTCCAGAAAAGCGTCCTCCAACAAACTTAAAGTGGTCCGTGGGCCACCAGTTGAGAATCCCAGTTGTAGCAGGTTTTGTGGCTCCGGACACGTTTAATTTCGTGAACAAAGGCGTGGAAATGGCTCTTTTGATCATAAAGGTTGCAGACCCTGATTGGTTACTTTAAATTGTCTCTAGGTGTGAGTGAGAGAGTGAATGTTTGTTTGTCTCTGTGTCCCTGTGATGGACTGGAGACCTGTCATGGGTGTCCCCCGCCTCTTGCACTGTGATAGCTGGACATGGGGACCAGTGACCCCTGCGACCCAAAAAGGAAGAATCGGGTAAAGATAATGGATGGATAATATGTTGATTATGTTACTTATAATTTAGGCTCATTTTTCCTTTAGAGAAAGTCTAATAGCAATAATGTGTATAACATTATTTGTCACACTATTCCCCCTTTATGCTAAAGACCAGGATCTAAATTGAGCTGTGGCTGAAATCACAACAAAACATGCAGTCTAAGCTTTTAGAATTAAACAACCATGTCTGAACTTGGACGTCTTAACTAGTACGAAGCCCAAAGGACCGTGTATTAACCAACAATGGCTTAGTCCAGCAGTTTTTGGCCTAGTTGACCTTGTTTTCCCAGGAGTCCTCCAGAACAATGCAGCCTGTGGCAGATTAGCCTCTGGCAGGTTTTAACTTCCCTTGCACTCTTGATTTTCTCCTACGGGTTTCCAACCCCTGCTCTATTCTTTTCTTGTCATCTTAGCTAATAGCCTGTAGCTGGCAGCCGCATTGTTTTGGCAGTTCTGGCCTAAATTGCAAAGAAGACATGGTAGTTAAATTATTCTGTATGGCTCTGCATGGCCTGCTTTATTTACATGTAGCTCTTATGTTTATGGTAGATTAGGACATTTGTTGAGTTGAGGGGGGTGTCTGCTTTTTTTTTTAACAAGCCCTTTCATTTTAAAAATAATGCCATCTTATCAAAAGCAAAGTATTATAACCACATTTATATAAAGCATTCTGTACACTGATTTGAGAACAGAGTTTTAACTTGTCGTGAGGCGCTTATTTCATCTGTGCACACAAACCACTCATGGACTCGCTGACTCCCTCGTGCTTGTATTCATATTATTTTTGACTCCGCTTCTGTACTTGTGTACAAACAAACAAGAGCACAGGTAAACATAGTTGTTGACTTAATTATGTCCTTCCAGACAGGTGTCCTTCACAAGTTATCCAGTCTGGAGTTTAAAGAGGACTGCACAGTGACAGAAACAGAAAACATTATCAACCATGAATGCAGCACTAACAGTTATTGTTAAATTTGATGCATCAAAATTTATTTTCCACCTATTTTGTGGTTATTGTACTTGGAATTAATTTTAGAAAAAAAATATTCATTTTATTTAAATGATAAATGAAATTGCAAACATTTAAACAGGCCACATGAACAAAGTCTGAAAGGGCACCTCCTCTTTAAATTCAGGGGTATTTTAATCCCACACTCTCACATAACCTCTGCCCTCCCACTTGCATTTGATTATCCTACCAGACAGAGACGCCCCTGTCCCTTTCTGTCCTTCTGTCGCGTCGGCTATTGCTACCTCTCCAGCTGACTGGGGACCGTTAAATGGTCTAAAGCAGCCAGCAGCCGTCCAGACTAGCAGGTGCTGAAACGAGGGTCTTTGAGGACTGTGGGAAGTGCAGTGGAACAGCTGCTTGCTGGTCCTCCAGTCAGAGCGCACAGCCAGAAAGGACTGTGGGTTCCTGTGAAAACACATGGTCCTTTCATTTACCCCTCTTTGATTTCAAATAGTGTTTGTGGGTGTTACATTTCTAAAAGTCAAGCTTATGTAAGCTTGCTTTTAATAAACACAAGTGCTTGAATGTTGGACGGCTCTACAAAAAACTTTAAAATGCTCATCAGTATCTTTAAACCATCTAATGCTCCACAAGTACCCTCGTGTGAAAATACAGGCCCGGTCCTGTTAGGATGTAAAAAGAGCAACCCTTTCTTGTTTTGTATGTTTTTATTTTGTTTGTTTTAAACCATCAGATGATGGACTCCATGGCCCTAATGAAGTCAGGGAGGTATGGGTTGCCCCCTGTGCTCAAGCTGCGACACACTCAGAGCCACACAAGTAAGTGAACCCCCCAGTGGCTTCATTAATGCAGCCTCTGTCAGGAAAACCAGAGAAGTCGCCACAGACCCCCTCCTGTATTCTCTCTCATCTCTCAGCAGAGGTAAACAGACATAAATGATGAGCGTCTATTTGGGGGACAAAAGACTAATAAATGTCCCTTCTTCCTTCCGTTCAGGTTTTATTTTATCCCACAATTAGTTGAACTTGGGTTGTGCTTCACTGTCAAAATAAGGAAATCACTTTGTTGCTAAAGTGTCTCTTTCATCTGTTTATGCCTTTTCTCATCTTTTCCCTCGATGTTGTACAAGTGAGCCCCCCCCCCCCCCCCCCCCCCCGCCCTCTAATCCATCACTCTCCCCACCCCCCTCATCCTTACTTCATCCTTACTTATTCTGTCACCCGGTCTCAATTCGTTTAAAAGGGAGGGGAGTAATTTAATTCTTGGCAAAGTGCCCTTTTCTATGGTAGCAGCGAGCCCTCGTTACAAGAACTTAGTCTTTTATTATTTCTGCTCTAACTCTGGATGGCAACACACAAAATCACTGTATTGTTAAAAACCATTAATTGTGTGCACATCACTGAAAATGTTTATTTAGCAGTAGCCCAGTATAAATCTGAGTAGTTTCATGCAGGAAGGAAGCATGCTATAATCAAACATGCACACTAACGGCAGCCTTGCTCTCTGTTGGGAGCATGAGGAACCATAGAGGGCTCCTTTGTTTTTATTTATTTTTTTTACTCTTTTCATTTGCAAGGCATAATCAAAGACTGCCCTCCTAATTGCGACCTGAATGAACACAGAAGCGCATTACTCACACATGATTGCAAGCAGGGGATGAAAATAATTGTCCCCTAGTCTTTGTTTTTCATGTTCAAC